ATCCCAGTTGCAAGATTTCCACCTATATTTCATCTAGTCCATCACTCTGTTCTAGAGAGTAGCTGAGTATTCATAATCGAAGAAAAGATGCCTGCAGGTTTCTTGATGCTGATACGTGCATAGGACACAAAGATTTGTGACAAGTATCCTCATGTGACACATCCTGTCTTTTGTTAACACTTTAGAATGAACAACAAGCCAAAAGATGAAGGAGTGCTTAGGATATAACCACCCATCCCAAACTATTTTAGACCAAGCAGCTGGTGCATTTTGACGAATGAGCTCATTGTAGATAGAAAATAACTGAATTTTAGCTTAAAAGCAACACCTGGTGGTGACATTTTGCACATTAGAGGCATTTCCAAATTTACAGATCATTTTATCTCTGACTTTAAGTATTAATCCTCATGCTTTTGCTATGCTTTTGGGTTTTCAGTTTAGTTTTGATGTATCTTAATTTTTTTCCATAAAAAAACTATTGCAATACAATCCTAACTAATAAAGTAATTTATGACATCTCCCATTCCAAACCCATAAATAATGCATTTAATATAACTATTAATGAGAAAATGAACCCATAATTAAAGGATTCATGTATATTCTTTTACTGACTAATCAAATTCTCTTCATTAATTATGCACTAATAATTTTACAACTTATCTACTTCCATAAACATTCCACTTTGACAAGAGTTGCATAAAATTATGTTATATATGGATGTTCAAATGCACAAAAGGAAACAGTAAAAGAGGCAAAAGAAAAAAATAGAGGAAATAAGGATTTTGACAGTGGAGTCAGTCCCTCGATTATAGTAACCAAGATATCCTGTAGTCAACAAGATTTCATAGGCGATAATTAAGACAGAAAATTGTATTGCTTTTTTAAAGGAAACAAAGAGATCTGCAATCGAATACCAATCTATTAGTTATACAATTATACAATTTTGTGAAAAGAAAAATTAATATAAATGTCAATAAATTCATGGCGAGTGGGTGGCTGGGGGCTCTGTTTGAGTCCTCTTTGTTGTTCTAAAAAAAATGATCTTCAAATGTTTTAGTTTCATATCATTACTTAGTTTGCATCGTGAGCAAAGCACGTGTTAAATACTAGTGTATGTAAGTATGTATCTATCTATTTGTTCCAATTTTACAAAAACAAAAAAAAAATAAAAAAATAAAAATAAAAATAAAAAAACAAAAAAACAAAAATAAAAAACAAAAACATATGTATTCCCATTTCTCTTAAAAGAGTCATCAACAAAAACAATACATCTGTGTATTAACTAGAAAACTACATTAACTTCACCTTTTATTTCTTTTTTTTGGTAAATGAAACTTTTCATTAAACAATTGAAAACATTAATTATGAACATAACAAGCCGAGGAATACTGGGCTAATCACAAAGACCTCAAGTAGAGGTATAAAGAAAAATCATCAACTCCTACAAAATTAATTTTAAAAATTTGTAATCACCTTTTAGTTTAATGATGGTTATTGATTTTACAAAATTAAGTTTACAAATTTGTAAAATTAATTTTTACAAATCAGTTTAATGATGGTTATTGTGAAAAGCTTATTGTAGCAATTAATGTCATACAATCTGTTATTGGTTCTATCATCAGTGAAGCTCAAAGTGCTTTTGTTAGGGGTAGACAAATTTCTAATAATATCCTGTTAGCACATGAGCTTGTGAAGAACTATGGAAGGAAACATTTATCCCCAAGAGTTATGCTAAATATTGACATAAGGAAAGCTTTTGATACAATCAGTTGGGATTTTCTAGAGAACATGCTGAAAGGATTGGGGTTCCCTAATGAGTTTACCAATTGGGTTATGATATGCATCTCTTCTCCTAAATATTCTATTTCACTTAATGGTTCTATGCATGGATACTTCAAAGGTGAAAGAGGGTTAAGGAAGGGAGATCCCTTATCCCCATATTTGTTTATTATAGGTATGGATTACCTCTCTAGGAACATGAATATGTTGAAGCAAGATAAGAAGTTCAAGTTCCATCCTAAGTGTGGAAAGCTCAAGATCACACACCTCACCTTTGCTGATGACCTCCTCCTATTCTGTGAAGGGGATTTTTACTCAATTCAAAAGTTATATTAGTGTGTTAAGGATTTTGGAGTCACTTATGGTCTTGAAGCAAACCTCTCAAAATGTTCTATTTTCTATAGAGGAGTAGAGGACTCTGTTAAAAACTCAATTCATAGGTGCCTAGGGTTTCTTGAAGGAGTCTTCCCTATAAGGTATCTTGGTGTTCCTCTCTAATATGCAAGAGATTGTCATACGTTGATTGCACTCCTCTTTTTCAGAAAATCTCTAGTCAATTTCAAACCTGGCTGAAGCACAAACACTTGTCATATGCTGGTAGACTTCATGTCATAAAGATTGTAATATTAGGTGTTCAAATTTTTTGGACTTCTAATTATATTTTACCAGCAAAGGTCCTACAGAAAATTGATGATTTGTGTAGAGATTTCCTATGGGGCAAAACAGATCTGGCTTTTAAATCCCCACTGGTTTCTTGGGATAAGGTTTGTAAAGAAAAGAAATATGGAGGATTGGGGATATTCTCAGCAAATACATGGAACATAGCCTCTGCATTAAGAACCATATGGTATATACATAGACATAAGGAGTTACTGTGGATAAAATGGATCCACAGCAACTATTTCAAAGATACATCAATTTGGCAAGTTACAGTGAAAAAAATGAGATTCTTGGTTATGGAAACAACTGCTCAAAGTCAGGGATAAGACTATTGCAAGTTGTGGAAGTGTTGATGTTTTGAAGAAAATCATCAGCTCTTGTAATAGGAATTCAAAAGTGTGCTTATCTGAGCTTTATTCAAAAATTTCCCCAGCAACTACTAAGGTTCCATGGTTCACAACAGTATAGGATAACTTGAGCTACCCAAAGCACTGTTTCATTATGTGGCCAACTGTGCAAAACAGGCTTCTTACAAGAGATCGATTGCTCAAAAGAGGAATCATCAACACTGGCCTCTGTTGCTTATGTAATGATACTGTTCTGGAATCCTGAAACCATCTCTTTTTTGAATGCAGCTTCACGAATGCAGTTTGGAATGTGATCATGGACTGGCTTCAATTCGATTGGAAGACTTGTGACTGGAATCACTTGTTAGATTGGTTCATTTACAGGCAGAGAGGAAGAGGTTTTAAGCAAAAAGTGAAAAGAATGGCGTTTTCTTCTACTATCTACAGGTTGTGGAGGGAACGCAATACCAGATTCTTCAAATCAAAATCCAGGAGTGTTGAGCAGATTATCAGAGAAATCAAAGTTGATATCATGACTATCATATTAAATGGTTCATATCCAGCGGGAAAAAAAGAATGGCTTATATCACTATAAAACCATTATATATACTCAGCTGACCTTAGTTTTCTTTTTCTGTTGATTTCTTGATTGTTTTTTCAGTTCATATACTGAATATCTGATGTACATATACTTTCCATTTTGGTAAATGAATAAAATTCTTCATTGACCAAAAAAATTAATGTCATACATTTTAGTTCTTTATTAAACCCTATAGCCCGCTAATTTAAAATAATACTTATTGATCTTGTTTTAAAATCAGACAATATTGTCTAGACACTTTACAGTTGAACTGTACAATAATTGGGGGGAAAATTTTAGTCAATTTTTTTTTCTAATTACCTTCCTATATATTACCAACACACGAAATTGGAACTGACTCACTTTGTTAAACTAAATATCTAAATTAGGCACTAATTGAAACTAAAGAGGGTGTCAAGTGACTTGGTGAGAATCTACTTCAAGCCCTCCTTTCCACAACAAGGAATGACTGTCTCAAAAAATAAATAAAAAATATAAAGAAGGAAAGACAATTACAAAGGTTTTGGTATATTTTCCTCTATGAGCATACAACTTAATTCTATCAACATTTTACATTGTATAAGTTAAATATCCTTTAATTTTATGATTGCATTCATGAACACGTATGTATATGATCGTATGATGTCTCCAGATTGCACATGAACTATTCATGTTTCATATTCCTTCGTTATGGTGATTTTTTCTATTTTTATGTCTGTGAGATATATAACAAAGCCAAACAGGCCAGGTTTCATTCTCTATCCTCTATTCGGTCTGCACCTAGACTCTACAGTAAAATATTTATTAAATGATGACATCAGTTTAATGATGGTTATTGTGAAAAGCTTATTGAAGCAAACACTACGTTTTAATAGTTTCGTAATTATAATCATCAATATTTAATTAACAGATCGATGCAGTATTTACAGATTAAAAGCAATGCAACACAGTGAATACATACATAGGACTATGACATTAATTGAATCACAATCATCCTTAGTATTAATGGATAAAATTGAAAATATGATCTCTTTTACAGCTAAATGGATAGGACGCAAATTCCAAATGGACAAAATTATCAAAATATTATGCGGAAAAAATCCACACGTGTGCAACTAATATAATTAAACTAACTATGTGTAACAATATTCTACCTCACAATTTGACCTAATACCACAACTTGTTCTCAGCTTCCACGTGCGCCAGCCATCTAATTTCTGGGGAAAATTTTTGGTTTCAGTTAGGTCCCACAGACCAACAAAACAAGAAACCCTAGGATTTAACTAAGTCCAAGTCTACTGTTGCCCATGACCACTAATCTCAACCTTTAGATGAACAATTTTTCATGATAATTTGTTAATGACCGTCGGTTCAGTGGGTAGGTAGCCTATGCAGCTCAACTTCCAACGTGCAAAGTGACATGCAAAGTTATTTTATACGTATAGTTATATGCAAAATAAATAAATAAATAAATAAATAAATTGTTAATATATATATATATATAGGTTAGAAAACATTAGAGAGATGTTGAAAGCAGAACGGAATTCAATTCACCCCCACCAAGCAATCTATCTCTCTCTATATAACTTTCTCTTTCATTGATATTTATTTAAAAACGGAAAATTAAAGCCATTTGTTAGCCCACACGTAGCATCAAGCTCTGGTGCAACAATTTCTTTGTCTTCTCTCTTACTAACGAGAAAATATGCAACACTTTACTCTTTCGTTTCTTCATATAATAATCTCGTTTATCTCATAACAGATCCATTGTCCCTAACCATTGTCTTCATCCGATCAATATATATAACCTTACCCTCTCTATCCAATCTAATTATCTTCTTGTTCGTCTACTTAGCTTGCAAGAACTAAACACAGCAAATTATATAAAGAAATTAATCAAGAGATATGTGCACGAGAGGCCATTGGAGGCCAGCAGAAGATGAGAAGCTCAAGGAGCTTGTCGCCCGATACGGTCCTCATAATTGGAACGCCATCGCTGAGAAGCTTCAAGGGAGATCAGGTTCAAATATTTCTATATATTACTAATTAGGGTTTCATCTGTAGTTATATATATATTTCTTTATTGTGTTTTACTTCTGAAACCCTAATTACTGTAATAGGAAAGAGTTGTCGGTTGAGATGGTTCAACCAACTGGATCCAAGAATCAACAGAAGCCCCTTCACTGAAGAGGAAGAGGAAAGGCTTCTTGCTTCTCATCGAATCCATGGTAACCGCTGGGCTATTATAGCTAGATTGTTCCCAGGGCGCACCGACAACGCTGTTAAGAATCACTGGCATGTAATCATGGCAAGAAAGTGCAGAGAGAGATCAAGATTTCATTCAAAGAAGTTTGATCATCACTATAAAGAAGAGAAATTGAAACAAGGATTTTCCAGCTTGTTGCCCTTTACTGAGAATTACCATAGGCAACATGACAACTCCAGAGAATTAATGATTAAAGGTAATTAATTAAGCTACGGAAATCGATTTGTTCATGTGCGAATAAAAATAAAAATTTATAGGTAATGATATTATCATTATTATTTTTGCAGATAATGATAATAAGATCGAGTTTTATGATTTTCTTCAAGTGAACACTGAGTCTAGTGATTCGAAGTGCCGTTCAGGAGTAGAGGAAGAGCAAGAGGAGGATGAGGAGGCCAAAAAAGAGGATGGTATTCCTTTTATAGATTTCTTGGGTATTAGAGAAGGAAATTATGTGACCTAGTTTATTGATGTTAATATAGGGAAGAAGAGTAACTATTAGGACTTACTATACAGATGTAAATGCTTCATAAGAAGGATGTAACATAGTTATGTAGAGCAAACTCTTGGAAAATATTTGAAAGAGTTAGCTTCTCTGCAGTAAATTATGGCTTTTCATATATTTCCCTCTCTCTTTTTTGCATTCACACACAGTTATAACAATAATCAATAAGATCATCTCAATCTAGAAGTTTTTTAGTTGGAGGGTCATGTTCGACAATTGTTAATTTTCACTAGAACTGATTAGATTATAGATTCACATGATATACATGGTTTTGTCATTTACGATTAGTAGTTACAGTCATTTTGATCTTTTGTGAAATTAAAAAATGATGCAAGTTTTCCCTCATAAGAAATTGACTTACTACCTTAGATTTTGGTGTGTGAACAGCATGATAGCTACAAATCTTTCCTCCAACAACATCCACCAGAGGAAACAAAAGGTATTCTCTCTTAGCCTGGTACACTGAATAGAAATTTAAATTTACTGCTTACTCTTGCTGCACCTAAAAACATTTCTACTACTTTTAAGTCTTTTTAAGTAAAAAATATGCATGATGTACAGTTTGATAACTCAGTTCGTTTACAAGGTTCTGACACAATTTCATAGAACTTCTGTTGATGTTAAACTAACTAATTAAAACTAGAATCTTACAGGTTAAGTGGACATGTCACTGAAAGTCACATTATGAAAATAACATGTATATTATGTATATATTTTCTGTTTAGTTATAATTTGAAGACAGAGAATGGATTTGTTCTCTGTAGTTTTTAGAGTATGAGTGATGTATTAGTAGATTAGAATTTTTTTGTATTCTCAGTTCAAGCTGAGAATCTTGATGTGCTGATTTTTTCACATTTGGATGATGAATAAATAACTTTTCATTGACCAAAAAAAAAATAATTTGGATCACAGAAGACGCACATGATTTCTTCAAAAATATTCAGTAATGGGAATTTCATGGTTACAGTTTGCAAAATTTTATTCTCTCATACATGGGAATCAATTCATTATATATATTTATATATATATATATATATATAACCTCTCCAACATTTGAAATTCGTAATTAATAGTTTTTCATGCGCTCATTTATCTATGTACATATATGTACTTTAACGTAATTGTATAATGCTAATATTAGAATCTACATTTTATGTTCCGCATATAACAATCTGCAAATGATGTGTGTGTGTATATATATATGTGCCATTTCATAGTTTAATTGAACACAATTGATGATAATACTTCCTCAATTGTAAAAGCAGAAAAGTTATGCAGTACATTCTTCATAGATGGAGGTCATTTTCTTACATATGTATAAATCTAGTATTTCTTATATAATAACTTGAAAAGCTTGTCACATAATGTGAATAGTATTTCATTCATCAGTACTAGTTGAATAATAATTGCTCATATGTAAAGATATATATTACATCATTCCCCAGATCATTCATGCATACATATCTACACACGCACATGATGGTAGAGACTAATTAGGGATAGTAAAGATTAATTTTCAATAGCAAAGAGAATTTATAACCTATAGTTACTTCATTGCTAGCTTTAGGATTTTGTCTACATGTATCTAGTATAAATATATAAGCTTTAATTACCTTAAAGTCTCTACCACTGCATAAAAAATTTAAAGTTATGGTGAAGGTTGATGTTTATATTTTTATATTCTAACACGTTCACATAGATTGAATGCTATTTTTATGGAGTGAAAACTTAGACTTGAACAGCAGTATTATTATTTTTAAAAACCCGCTTTAAATTAATTGTCAGTAGGAATTTAAATTGTGATGTCATCTTAATGTCATTGTAACTGCACCAGAACTCTAAAGTGATGGTGAGGATTGAAAATTATATTTTTATATGTTAACGAATTAATTGCATTTAGCACTCTACCGCGAACTGCACATATATTAGATGTGTTATAAGTACATTTAATAGGATTAATATAATAATTAAATACATTATCGTAATTAAATAACTATTTAATTATGGTTTGATATATCAAATATTTCCACAAGAATTATGTTCAGGTATACTCGATTTCAAAGTAGAACTTACCCACACGTGTATGTGCACTCCATGCTGTGACATATTGTCATGGAGAGAGAGAGAGAGAGAGAGAGAGAAAAGTGGAGTTTTTTTTTGGGTGTTGAGTTGAGAGGAGTGCTGAACACTAAGAAATATATTGTTATTATTTCTTTAGTGGTACAAACTCACTATACTCTCAAATACAAATACTCTCTCTCTCTCTCTCTCTCTCTCTCTCTCTCTCTCTCTCTCTCTCTTTGCTACTGGGATGGATTTAACACAAACCCTGGGGATGGGGGGGGGTTATTTATAACATTGGTTTATGGTAGATAAACACTATTAGGATTAGGTGATTACTGTAGCTAGGTAGGTGGGGGATAGGTGTGACTGCTGAATTTCAACACTCCCCCTCAGCAGCGACTTCTCTATCCACGAGTCCAAGCTGACTTCAAAATTTTGCAAACTTTAAAGTACTCAGTGTTTTGGTGAATATGTCAGCCATTTGTTTGTTTGTCCTGATTGGCTTCATTACAATCTCCTCTTGAAGAACTTTCTCTCGAAGAAAGTGATGATGTACTTCGATGTGTTTCGTCCTAGCATGAAAAACTAGATTTCTGCCAATGGTATTGCAGACTGATTATCACAATGTAAAGCTACTGAGTAGTTTATGGACTGATGTAGGTCTCTCATTAACTAAAAAAGTCATGTGCTTTCCTGAGCTGCCATCGCTACTGATCTGTACTCCGCCTCTGTAGTTGACAGTGACATCGTTGACTGTCTTTTGCTACACCAAGATATAGCCGCTAAACCGTGACTAAACATGCATCTGGTAGTAGACCTTTGAGTGTCATGATCTCCAACGTAGTCAGCGTCACAATAGCCATAGACCTCACATACTTCTCCTTTCTTATACATGAAACCATAGTTAATTGTACCCTTGATGTACTGTAGGCAGTGAAAATTACCTAGGTGTCAAAGCCCGCAGAGCTCAACCCCTCCTTATTGAGCTTGCCTACAGAGCTTGACATCGCCTGTTCATTGAGCTCGCTCATAGAGCTCAATCTTGCCTGTTAATTGAGCTCGCCCGCAGAGCTCAATCTCACCTGATTGTTGAGCTCGTCAGCACGAGCTCAACCCCTCCTGTTTGCTATACTCGTCAGCACGAGTCAGACTCGCCTGATTGTTGAGCTCTCCCGTCGAGCTCAACCCCACCTGAATGCTTTGCTCGCCAGCATGAGCCAAGCCCGCCTACAGGGAGTTCGTCCGCATAAACTCGACTTGTCTAGGAACGCCAGCTCTTGCATTGGAGGGGCCTACTAGCCGATCCAGCATGTTCGCTAAGCTCGCCTGATCATTCAGACAGCCCTCGAGCTCACTCGTAGCTTTGCCAACATTGTCTGAGCAATGCAAGCGGGCTGTTTGCTTATGGGAGTGGGCATACCCACTTCCCACATCCTGGGTGATGATGGGGCATGGCTTTCATCACTCTTATAGCGGTCACATCCCACAGCTAGGGGGGTATGGTACTCCTCACACGTTGGTGGTCATATCCCATAAATCAAAGGGTGACCCATGCCACCCCTTGCATATTTAAAGTCTCCTTTGTCAACGTGAAGGGGGCTGGCAGGCTGATTATGGATTGGATTGACTGTGCATTCTTCATTTTCATGGCTCTTCAATCAGAGACTTGTTTTGGCTCACTTGCTTGTTAGAACATTCCTAGCTGTAAGTTTAGATTGTTGAGATAGACTCGATCTGAACTCTCAGATTTGAGGCTCATTAGCTCTTTGCAAACTCTTGCAATCATAGCCCTCTCCAAGCTTTTGGCCTTGATATTTCTCAAGCTCGGGTAGTTGAACTAAACCTCAGGAGCTTTTACTACGTACTAAAGCTCAATAACAACTTCAGTCAGATCGTCCAAGGAAAGTAAACTCAGCGCGAGCACTGAGAGAGGCGTCCTACCGCTGCCAACGAACCCACGTTAAACAAGGAGGGTCATTCCCTTCTCCTCTGTTGTAAACATTAATCATTAGTTTGTAATAAGCCAATCTTATAAATACAAACGACCTCTCAAACGGGAAGTCAATTTTTACACCCAACAGAAGATGGCGACCACAGTAGGAGGAACCGTTTCTTCAACCAAAATGGTGGTGGCGCAATTCGACAAAATTATGGCGGGGATAACCGTTGAGTCACTCGTGATCGAGTTCAAGGAGTACTTATCTTCATCCTCTTCTGGCGATAATGTGTCTTGCAAGTGCTACAGAGTTGTGCGTGTGGCCCAGCCCCAAGTGGCAGAGGCAACCACGTCAGAGAACTCTGCCCGAGCAAGCACAGGAGGTTCTATCTCCTCCAAAGAGGCAACCACGTCAGAGAACTCTGCCCGAGCAAGCACAGGAGGTTCTATCTCCTCCAAGCCCATCATGGCCGAGCCGAAGGCAAAGGATGCAGGTTCAAGGGCTGCTCGATGGGTCGTTGAACGATCCTCGCAGGCCCCCATGCAAGAGGAGACCTTGGTGCGCGTCGGCGACCTCGTCTTTGCCGTCGACATAAGTCGCCCCCTCTCCAAAAGAGCCAAGCAGCAACGATGACAAGCTCTCACCCGCCAAAAGACTCAAGCCCACGTTCTCTATGACGGCCTGAATTACTATTCACGTCTAAGAGACCCGAGCTAAAACGTAAGGCTTTCAATTTTAGCGAACTGAATCGATCAGGCAAGTCCCCCAATTCAGGCGAACTTGACAAGTTAGGCGGGATTAGCTCTACAAGCCGACTGCCTATTTCAGGCGAGCCTTACCATGATGGACTTCACCAACAGGCCCAAGCTCGTCTGTCAAGCCAAAAGACCCAAGTCCCTGAATCAGGTGAGTTGAGAAAATCGTGTGAGCCCCCAGTTCGGGCAGGCTTCGCTTTACGGGCCATTTTCGTAACTCAGGCGACCCCATCTATTCAGGTGGGCTCCCTTATAGTAGCAGAGTTCCCCATCTGGATGGACTCCGCAACTCAGGCGAGCCCACCTACACAGGCGGGCTCCGCTCTTCAGGCGAGCTTCC